CGGCGGGATGAGTCCCGGCGGCAGCATGCCGGGCTGCGGCATGGGCAGGCCCGCCTTCTGCATCATCTCGGCCAGGGCGGCGAAGTCGGGCGGGTTGTTGGGGTCCGGCATGGGCAGGGGGGCGGCCGTCGGGGCCGAGGAGCGGGAAGGGGAGGGGCAGGGGCGGCGGCGGGACGGCGCTGCTGTTGCCGCCGGCGTCGAGTCCGCCCGTCTTGAAGCCGGGGATGGCGGCGGCGGCGCCCGGGTTGGCGGCCAGGTTGAGGCCCGGCATGCCGGCGGTGAGGCCCGGCAGCAGCGGGACGGGTGGGCCGCCGCCGGCGACGGGGGCCTTTTGGTCGACGAGCCCCTCGAGCTCGTCCTGCTTCTCCTGCTCCTCCTCCTCCTGGCGCTGGCGGCGCTGGCCGCGGCGGTCCCAGGTGCCGCGGGCCTCGGCGGCGTCCTCGCCGATGTGGTAGCGGTCGTTGAGGATGTTGTCGCCGTCGCCGGGGCGGGCGCGGGTCCAGAAGCGCGTGATGCGGTCGTTTGAGCCCGAGGCCATGATGTGGCCCAGCGGGTGCCAGTCGAGCGACCAGATGCCAAAGTCGTGCGCGTGGTTGAGCCGGTGGGCCGGGAAGATGACCTGGGCCGGCGTCTCGGCCGGGTCGGCGCTGTCGTAGGGCGCCACAGTCGGCGGGCGGCCGTCGGGCATGTTGGGCTCGTCGAGGATGTAGTGCAGCAGCGCGCCGCCGGCGCCGCCCGTGCTGAGCAGGTTGGGGTGGATGGGGTGCCAGGCCAGCGACGAGACGTCCTTGTCGTGGCCGCGCAGCAGGCAGATGTCGCGCATCATGCGCAGGTCGAAGACGCGCGCCGTCTGGTCGCGCGCCGACGTGGCCAGGCACATGCCGCGCACCCGCTCGAAGAGCGTCTTGGTGATGGTGTTCTTGTGCCCGCGCAGCGTCGTCAGGCACCGGCTCGAGCGCGGGTCCCAGAGCTTGACCAGGTGGTCCTTGGAGCCCGACACGATCAGGCCCTTGGTCGGGTGCCAGTCGCAGGCCTTGGCCTCCCAGTGGTGGCCGCTCAGCGTGGACTCGCGCGTGGCCGCGGCAAAGTCGTAGACGCGCAGGGCAGCGTCGTCGGTGGCCACGACGAACTTGGAGTCGTTGGGCGCAAAGGCTATGTCGCGCACCGTGTCCTTGGAGTCGCGGATGGTCTCGACGTTGTTGAAGTTGGGCTGCCAGTAGTGTATGATGCCGTCGTGGTCGCCCGACAGCAGCCACTCGTCGCGGTGCGAGTAGGCGAGCGCCCGGATGGCCGCCTCATGAGCCTGCATTATGGTCTCAAAGTTGAAGCCAGTACCGTTCCACAGCGTGAACTCGCCACCCGTCGACGCCGTGAGCAGCCGCCGGCCCTCAGGCGTCCACTTGACCACGTTGATGGGGTGCTTGACCTTGTTCAGGGACGAGTGCAGGTGCCTGACGGGCAGCGAGTCGGCCGCGTTGGTGACCCTGGCGTGCGGCGGGAGCATGTCTATGATGTAGCTGGGGCTCGGCCTCTCGACCTCTCCCTGATATCCGCCCTTGTACCGCGCATCTCGGTGGCGCATCCAGTGGACCAATGTCGACGAGTAGTCGGTCACGGGCCCTTTGTACCTCGCACCATACTGGTTAGTAAGATGGTTCCAGTGGCCAGTGATGTGGGTACGGGTATCGCGGGCGCCCTTGGTGGTGAAGTGGACGTTCTGGGTTGTGCCGAGGCGGACAACAGGAGGCAGCTCGCCAGTCTCTTCCTGAGACGGGTCGGTGCTGGAACTCGCCATGGCGAGCACGGGGGAGGCAATGGCAATGACAATGAGAGAAAGAAACAGGGCAGATATAGTGCAGTGAATATGTAGTGAGGGGCTCCATCAACGAGATGGTTGGCAAAGCCAGACTGTCCTGGTGAAGGGTTTGATATAAAATTTGCCCAATATAAAAAACAAACGGGGAGTTTGTGGGTGTAAGAGCCACGGGTGGTTGCCTGTCCCAAAAGGGAAAGAGTGACCAGACGAACTCCTGGGGCAGCAAGCAGCAAGCAGGCCGTACGGCCGACATGGTTGGTGGGCACACTGTAGGTGGCCTGGAGGGTTGCCGGGCATACTGACGGCTCTGGCCCCCACTGGCTGGCTTCCTCGGGCTCCCTGTGCTGGTGGATATTGTGCTTCGGGTGCTGGCATGGGGAAAAGCAAGAACAGACAAAACTGAGATACGATCACTCACTCCGTCCCCTCGGCCTGAGATGAGTGCCATCAGCACCTCCTCCGCCAAAGTCACCACCGCCGCCTCCACCTCCTCTGGGCTCGTAAGCCATGGCGACAGGCGCCTTATATCAAGGCTCCGCCTTAGTCTGATATTCCCTCCCCTTTGCTGACGTCAGGGCTCCAAGGCAGATCCCGGTCGCTTGCGTTTACTTTGTGCCCGCGACTATCAGTCTGCGCGGGACGGGAAACACACTGGAGCGTGCACGGCCTTTCTCCTCCCAACAACGACCTTCCGAGAATAAGAAGAAAAGAACACCCGGAGCTGCGACCAATCGAGGGCTGCAGCTTGGATACGAGTTGCTAGATAGGCAACAGACTCGGAGCAGAGCAGGACAAGGAACAGGCCAAGCCAGAGATGGGACAGCCTCGCTCCCTTTTGCTCGACGATGGCCGTGCAGCCGCGCGACGCAGCCCAGCCACTGATATTATTTCTGAAGATATGCGATTCTCCTTCTAGCTCCTGGGGTTTGCTGGCGTCGGGCCGTCGAGGTTCAGTGCGTGATGGACGACGGCACAGGCAGAGGAAAAAAAAAGAGGCCCAGGCGCGTTTCGCGAGACGTGACGGCGATTTGATTCACTCACCGGATTCGTCGCGATTCAGAGCTCCAAGCTCCAAGCTGGCGCAAGGGCTCCGGGGCCCCACATTCGAACGCAATGCCCGAATTGAGGCAGCGCCAGCAGATTCAGATTCAGTTGGGCCCAGGCTTAACTCCATCCATGCTTACACAGTACATGCAAATCGGATCCTCACCTGGCCAAACGCATCGCTGGTTCGGCTTGTGCTTTATCTCTGCTCGTTTCGATTGCAACGAACGGCGTGCGCACAGCAGCTGTTCCCTGCCGCGGCACTAGCAGCTGTGCGCTACTGCAGCCTGGTGTTAGGTTGCCAGCCATATTAATCCATTCCTGTCCTGGTCCTCTAGCCTCGGGTCTCTATTCCAGTAGCTCGCTCGTAGTTACGATAACAAATAAGCAATCGCCACCGGTCCAGAATCTGCGTCTCGTCTGGCGTTATGCGGGGGCTGCAGCTGTGGCTGATGCAGCTATCACAACGACGTAATGCAATGCCTGCGAGCGCCAACTATAAACTTCTCTTCTGCCCGTCGACTTGAGTTGCTCTTGTGTGCTCTTTCTTGTGTGTGTGTTTTTTTTTGACGCAAATCCACACACCACAACCGCCCCCTTCCCCCCTTTCCCCTTTTTTACCCGTTCCCTGGCGTTCCATCGTTCCATGCCGGGTCTGCCCCTCCAGTCCCAGTGGGTGTGGCCCCTGTCAGACACCGTGCCGTCCAAGCACCTCCCGCCAGCCGGCATCGAGCCTGGCTCTTGCCTGCGCTGAGCCGTGCTGTTTCTACCACCCTTGCCATTTTGATTGAGAAGAAGCCAGAAAAAGAAGCCGAGGCCTGCAGGGTCTTGAGCACAGCCAACGCTGGACAGCAGGCGCAAGAGAGATAGAGAGAAAGAAAAAAAAACCTTTTCTCCAGCTCGTGTCCATTTGTTTTATTTTGTCTTTTCTTCTTTCTCCATCCACCCATTCGGACGGGCTCTTTTCCACTCCCAATCTCTCCATCCCTTCATCGTCCCCTCGTCACATTTCCGAATCGCACGGCTTGCGCAGCGTCGGGTACGATCGGGATGAACATGGCGACGGAAACGGCGACGGCAACAGGCCTTGACCTCTCACCGAACGGCGGCCTGGACTCGCCCGCTGCTAATGGCAATGGCAATGGCAATGGAAGCGGCAACGGCACCGTCAAGCAACGTCGGCCAGCCGAGCAGGAGCAGTTGCACAGCAATGGCGGCCTGGTGATGGCGAAGACGCTTGGCGGCGACGCCGAGACGGACGAGAACACCAAGAAGGAGCTGAAGCGGGCCTTCCAGCGAAAGTACCGCCACGTCGCCGCCCTGCACTCAAAGTCGCGGCCGTCCTGCCTCAGCCACGACACCGAGATGTCTCCCAGCTTCGTCGGCTTCCGAAACCTGATGGTTATTGTGCTGGGTAAGGGTCCCCTGTTGGCCGGAGCGAGAGCCCCTGACCAAATATCGTCATGCCGCCAATGCGTGTCCCACCAAGGCTCCATGGGTGGCTGCCGACATGTGATGGCGCCCTGTCGGCGATTTATAGACGGCTGACCAGCCTTGCAGTTGTCGGGAACCTCCGTCTGATGATTGAGAATATCCAAAAGGTATTTCTTTGCCTTTACTCACCTGGCCTTTGCCAAGATGACGACGGCAATATGCTAAACATGGTACAACTCGCAGTATGGAGTCTTGATCTGCATACGCTGCCATGATTTCAGGAAGCACGATGTGGTCCTGGGCGTGGCGCTTTACCTGCTCATCCCATGCTTCCTGTTCGCCGCCTACCTGATCGAGCTGGGGGCGGCATACCAGGCCAAGATCTCGCGGTCGAGGGTGCGTAGGTCGTCGCTGTCGTCGTCGTCGGGCGCGACGGCGGTCGGTGGCGGCGCCCCCAAGGACGGCACGGTCAGCCCGACGGACGACGAGTCGCGCAAGTTCATGTCGACGTGGAAGCTAGTAGCACTGCTGCACGGCGTCAACATCACGGCGGCGCTCGTCATCACGTCGCTCACCGTCTACTACCAGATCCACCACCCGCTCATCGGCACCCTGACGGAGCTGCACGCCATCATCGTGTGGCTCAAGACGGCGTCGTACGCCTTAACCAACCGCGACCTGCGCCACGCCTACCTGCACCCGTCAAAGGGCGAGCGCGACGCCCTGCCCGAGCTGTACGCCCAGAGGCCCTACCCGCAGAACATCACCATGGGCAACCTGTGCTACTTCTGGTGGGCTCCGACCCTCATTTACCAGCCCGCCTACCCGCGCAGCCCGCGCGTGCGCTGGGTCTTTGTGGCCAAGCGCGTCGCAGAGGTCTTTTGCCTCAGCGTCTTCATCTGGTTCGCGAGCGCCCAGTACGCGACCCCCGTGCTCGTCAACTCGCTTGACAAGATCGCCTCGCTCGACTTCATGTCAATACTCGAGCGCCTGCTCAAGCTGTCCACCATCTCGCTCGCCATCTGGCTCGCCGGCTTCTTCGCCCTGTTCCAGTCCTTCCTCAACGCCCTCGCCGAGGTCATGCGCTTCGGCGACCGCTCCTTCTACGACCCCTGGTGGAACTCGGAGTCGCTCGGCGCCTACTGGCGCACCTGGAACAAGCCCGTCTACCAGTACTTTAAGCGCCACGTCTACTCGCCCCTGCTCGGCCGCGGCTTCAGCCCCCGCGCCGCCAGCCTCATGGTCTTTCTGCTGTCCGCCATCCTGCACGAGGTTCTCGTGGGGATACCGACGCACAACATTATTGGTAAGCTTCTGCTCTGTGTCTTCTGTCTCCCGCATACGACAAGTTGAGCTCGCTGACAAGAAGATTTCCCTGCTAGGCGTCGCGTTCCTGGGCATGTTCCTACAGCTGCCCCTAATCGCCATCACGGCGCCGCTGGAGAAGATGCAGTCGGCGACGGGCAGGCTGCTTGGCAACTGCATATTCTGGGTGTCCTTCACGGTGCTCGGGCAGCCGTTTGCGGCCCTCATGTACTTTTACGCGTGGCAGGCAAAGTACGGGAGCACCAACCGCCAGAACGGGCAGTTGCACTTTGAGGTGGAGGTGGGCTCGCACTGAGACTGGTTAGCCGGGGGTTTAAAAGGCCGCTGCTGCTACTTATTGTACGCTGGACGAAGTTGGAAAAACACACAAGATAGAATGATGTGTGAACAGACCTGTTATGAATTCACCGGCAAGGCCATTGTTTGTTGGACTTGATCGAGACGTTTGCGTGATAAAGATAAGGCATCGATACGACAGTCTAGAAGAGGAAGTATCTAAGATTACACTGCGCCAGTTGTCACATTGCTCCTGAAAACCGCTAGGCATGAAACTGCGTCCCATGTCTACTTCTAGCGCCATGTCGTGCACATGCTTTTGTTGTGGGTACTCCTCGAGAAACACAAGTGGACGGTGCGGCACACCAGACTGAAAGACACCCCCCTGGACAGACATCACCCCAAAAAGAAGACCGAGTCAAATCTCTCAAGGGATGAAGGGGATCTTGGTGCCGACGGCCTTGCGAAACGCCACGTACTCGTCGCCAAACATGCGCACGAGCGCGGCCTCCTCGCCCCGGATGCGGGACGAGAAGAACTTCCAGAGCACGGCGGCGTAGACGAAGAAGCAGACGACGTTGCCGAGCACGAGCTGGGTGCCGAGGGCCCAGTAGAAGAAGCCAAAGTAGCTCGGGTGGCGGAACGTGGCGTATATCCCCGTCGTGACGAGCTGGTGCTGCGGCGCCCGGGCGTGCTGCACGATGTGGTTGAAGCTGGGGCCCGCCTGCGCCATGGCGGCGGACCGGACCGCCTGGCCGGCCGCCACGAGGAGGAGACCGGCCAGCAGCAACAAGGGACCGAGGGCGTGCGGCAAGAACAAGATCCAGGACCTCGAGGGGAACAGCGCCCCGACGACGAGGCACTCGAGCGCGGCCGAGGCGTGGGCGACGGCGTAGGCGGGCCAGTTGGCCGTCAGCAGGAAGCTGTCGACCGAGGCGGCGGCGTGGTTGTAGCGCGCCGTGGTCCAGAACTCGAGGAAGTGGAAGGCCGCCAGGCACGCGCCGAAGAAGGGCAGGCGCCACAGCGGCGACGACGTGAGCAGCAGCACCGCCGCGCACGACACGGCCGACACGGCGAGCGCGCCGCCCAGGCAGAAGGCGCGCAGGGCGATGCCCGACAGGGACTTGGAGCCCCCCGGGCCGTAGTAGGCGGCCGAGGTGGTCTGGCTGCCCGAGGCGACGGGGCTGAGGAGCGGGAGCGTGGGGCGGTTGTACTCGTCAGCAGCGGCCAGGGCCATGTCAAGCTTGGTCTCTATGCTACTGCCGCCGCCGCCGCCGCCGCCGGGGGAAGATAGGCCGGCCGACGGCTGCGGCGACAAGGAGGATGTGGGCGAGGGCGGCGGTAGGAGAGGGGCGGCGAGGGTGATGGAGTGGCGCGAGCGGCGGCGACGGGCGGCGGCCGAGGTCGACGTCGTGGGACTCGGGCTCGTCTCGCCGCTGCCGGCTCCTGACACCCACGAGGCCCGCCGCGCGCCCGTGGTCTGTGCCGGCTCGGGTGATTCGTGCACTTGCATGGGGACCGTCGTGATTTTCAAGGGAGTGAAGGGCGATGTGAACATGGTGGGTAGGAGAGGAGGTGGGCAGGTGGTGGGCTTCGTTGTTGTTGTTATTGTTATTGAAGCGGCTTCTTCGGCGTCCATCTAGATGAGGATACAAAGAATGTCACCGAGAAGGGCGGGTGAAGTCGTTTGCAGGGCAGTTTGGTGAAGACTGAAGACGCGTGAGGAGGAGGATGGGAGAGAGAGAGGCGAGGAAGATCAACGTGCGCCAAAACAGAAGGGCAGCGAGCAAAGAATGAAAGAAAGTAGTGCCTCACTCACCGTCCAAAGCCGGGCCTTGCCCTCGCTTCATTTTCGCCGCTCATTGTGCTTCAGAGGGGGGTCGGCCAGCTCGGATTCCGGTGTGTGGCGCGCGTAGTGGTGAATCGAGGCCGGCCTTCAGGAACAGCGCGAGGAAGAGCTTGGAGCTTTAGCTTGAGCTCTGGGGGTGGGCCCTACTGCTGAGAGAGTTGTGCGCTAGGCGGCTGAGGCTTGGGACGGACGTAAACATTAAGAGGAAAAGGAGAGCAGGGAGGCTAGTTCCAAGCAGACGTCATTCATGCCAATGCATGCCGGACGTGGAATGGGCGGTTTGAGCTTCGATCGTGTTCATTCAGCATTCAGTCTGAGCGCCGCCCCAGGGTGGAGCTCATGTTCAATCCCAGCACTTAGCACCCATCGTTTTGCCCCGCCACGACGCCCGCAGTAGCAGCAGCCCTACATCGCCATCCCTTGCCGAAAACGGACTACAAAGAGCCCAGCAAAAACGCCAATCGCTACCTAGACAAAAATCGCGCTCACGGGCCTCTGTGGGAGCATGAAGCTATAGAACAATACTAAGCTGTCCCGGCGGCCTGGCACAGTGGCATGCGTCTTTGACCTTCATGTTGAGGGCGGCTGACCTGGACATATTGAGCCTTTACAAGCAGCCACCCCTAGGAGAACGAGAACAGGAGCAGAGAACAATGCTATGTGTATCGTTGGCATTACCACCTTGGCTGTTCTGATCTGGTCCTGCCGGTATTTGCCAGTCCAACACCTTGTCCCGCCGTACAGGTACCTAGGAAATGGCTCGCATTTTCAAGAAGCGCGGGGGAACGTTCGAGCTTCTATGTGCTCCTAGCTTTTCGTAGCGGAATCTGGCCCATCGCCGTTACGTGCCCGCCTGCGCATCCCCATCTCTCATTCAACAACTGGTCGACACCAGGGATAAACCTCTCAGCCTTGTTGGGCACCTGATCGACTCGAGAGGCGTGCCGCTCGCCGGCGAGGGCGGCGTGTGGAATTCTTCAAGGATCCGTGTCATCCTCTTGGCAGCCAAAACCGGCCGACTACGTTTACCGCCGCTCTGTATATTCAGTGGGCAGCGTCTCACCGACGATGGAACCCAGGTATGATGTACCAGCCGTCTTTATATCCCTCTTCGCGGGCAGCCAAATCTAGTCATCCACTAACGCCCACGTCCTCTTGCCAGTGAACCTAACTGGCCGCCTTGTATCGTCGCACAAGGCACAGTGCTTCGCCAACGATGGGTCGCGGGCGTCATCATTCCAACGTCCATGTCCTCTTGGAGCCGACCGCGTATATATCCAAGTCGTATCTCGCTGGTGATGGGATCCAGGTGCGATTCTTCGAGCGTCCACACCCTCTTCTTGACAGCCAGATCGAGCCGACCGCCGACTTCCACGGCTTCTTCTACGCAGCCACATCTCAGCGACCGCCTTGTATCGCCCGGTCGCACATCTGGGCGCAACATCCACTCCTGAGAAGACCGCGGGTGGAATGCATCAGACACCCACGGCTTCTTGGCGGTGAAGTCTGTCTAGTCGCCCTGAACCGCCCCGCACAATGGCCGCACCTCTCCATGACGAAGAAGCGTCCGGCGGCATGCCTCGAGTGCCTCATGTCCTCCTGCTGGCAGCGACATCTAGCAAGCCGCCTTGTGCCCCATAATATAGAAAATCTCTTGCCGACGAACAGAGTGGCTGGGGTGCCTGTTTCCCTCGACAGCCATGTCTGGCCGCCTCCTCTTCGCAGCAAGATATAGCTACCCACTTTGTGCAATCGCGCAGGTACCCAGGACAAGGGGGTTTCCCGGACCGTGGAGCGCGGGCAAGACACTCCTGATGTCTATACCTCCCTTAGCAGTGAGACCTGGCCGACCTCTGATATCCTATATACTGAAAGGCAGTGCCTTGCTCTCATAGCGTAGTGCGGTGTGTGATTCAGACCTTTGTGTCCTCCTCTTAGTAGTGAAGCCGCCGATATGTATATTCTCTTCTGTTGGCTGTGGAATCATCAGGTCGTATCTTCTATCCTGTTCTTGGCAGTGGGTTGTCCGCTTGGCTTGTGTCCTCCCCTTGGCAATAAAGCAGCTCGTTTGGCGTATGCCCTCCGTTTTGCAGCCATGCCCTCTGGCTCATATCTTCTTCTTGGCAATGCATATATTTTGTTCGCCCCTTTATTTCCGTAGTAAAACCGTTATTTGGTTTGCGTTTTGGGATTTGATATTATTTTTTATCTCGTCCACTTTCGTTATCGGCTGTGCCATTTTGGATTTAGATTCGAAAGGACCTTTGTAATTTTAAATCTCATTCGTTTTTCATTTTGCCTTTTTCGTAAGCTATGGGTTGTAGCTTGCATACATTGCTGGTCGGAACATTAAACGCTAAAAGCTGGCAAAGGAGCACGAATTCCTGGCTAGGAAGCACTGGTACACCCCGAAGAAAGGACCAACCTGCCCAAGCTCGAGCCAGTCCCACCGGACAGTAAAAAGCCCACCAGGTAACGCTCCAAAAAAATCTGTTCAAGCAAAGCTCCCCCACCGTTTCTCGACCGCCCCTTCTCCTAATGGTAGCATTGTCCGTCAAGTTTGTATCTTTTTCCTTTGCAAAGAACTAGGCTAGTAAACGTTTTCGTCCGGATTATGTCCTTTTTGGCGTTGAAAGCTTCTGGCTCATTTTGTATTTAGCTTGTGTCCTCGCCTCGCCTATATCGTCGTCGAGCTTGTATCCTCGTTTGCTCATGGCCTTGCCTAGCCCATATTCACGGTTGACTCGTGTCCGCGTCTGGCTTGTATTCTCACTTGGCCCCCTCCCTTTGTCTATAAAACCCTGACCTCTCCCATCCATCCCAGCCATTTTAAAATATTATGGTTCAGACACGACAGCGTCTGGACTGGAGCACCGCTTCCGGCCGATTAAAAAGCAAGTGACCGGCACCGCTTCCGGCCTATAAAAAAGCAAGTGGCTGGCACCGCTTCCGGCCCATCAAAAAGCAAGTGGCCGGCATTCGTGCTGCTGTCGCCAAAGGGCAAGACGTAAAGGACATGAAGGATATTCTGTCCATAAACGAAAAAGGGTAGCCTTTCCTTTCCGCGCGCGCGTGTCTTTTATTAAACCAAATTGTTTGGCGTTTCGGGGGGGTTTCCCCATTTAAATCGATATGCTTACTGTATTTGGCACCTGTTTGTTGGCTCGGAGAACGCTTCAAAGTTTGCCAATAATAATCGTCTCTAATAGGGAGGGTAAACCGTTGATCCATGTGCAAGGGAGGAAGAGATCTATCTGACAGGGGTGCAGCCGGCGAGGCCTGGGTATATCCCACCGATCCCGTAATCGGTGGGCGCTGCGGAACCGCACTCACGTGCTCCCTTTCTGGTCTTCCTCCCTCACCCCTGCACGCTCACACAGGCCGGTTCCAACAGTACCCCCCAATATATAACCGTTTGATATGTTTATTCCACCTTTCTTGTACCCCATATTCCCCTATGTGAGGCTGGTGGGTATGCATACCGGCGCCTTGTCGATCCTGTTACTGGCTTACCTCCCCCCCCTTGGTAGTGAAGTTGACTAGCTCATCTCTTTTCTGGCTTATCCCTCTCCTCCGGCAGCGCAATCTAGCTCTATCTTTTAGCAGTAAGCCGTCCGGCTCTTATTATCGGTGGGTCTGTGTCCATTCGGCAGTGGAATCTGGCTGTCTTTGCTTGTGGTGTGTCCTCGTCCGCTTTTACTATTGCCCGGGTTTATATTTATCTGCCTCTGTTCTCGCCTGTTCGTATCATACTCTTCTTGCATCCTCATATGCCTTTGTCATCGTCTGCTTGCGTTGCCTTTTGCTTATATCATCGTATTGGTAGCGAAATCCGGTCTTTCCTCCTTTTCTAGTGCATTCTGGCCGTCCTCCATTCTGCAGCGGAACCCAGCCTTGTCCTTTCCTGCTGCGAGTCCGTCCGGCCTATGCTCTCCTCTTGACTTGAAGCCGTTTGGCTTGTACTCTCCCTTCGGCTGCGAAGCCGTCTGGTTTGTGCCCTCCTCTTGGCAGTGGAACTAACTAGATTGGGTCTCTTTTTGGCAGCACGTTGTCTGGCTCTGTTTTCGACAGTGGAATCTCGCTATCCTGGCACCAGCGGCGGGTCTGGGATATCTTCTTTCGGTAGTATATGTGGCTATCCTCTCTAGGAAGGGGGTCTGGGCAACCCCCCGCGCCCGCGCCTCTAGATTTCCTTCTATCGGGAGTGGTGGCTGGCTGTTCTTCTAAGACATTGGACGCGGGGTGGTCTGCTTTCGGCAGTATAATCTCAGCAGTGCAGGCTATCGTCTTTCTTGCAGCGTTTTCCGGCTGTATTATCCTGATAGAAAGGCTTGGCTGGCTGTCTGCCTCTTGTCGGTGGGATCTCGGTAGTAAGATCTTGGTAGCAGAAGCTGGTGATCTCTCTTTGGTTGTGTAATCTCGGCAATAAAGTCTGGCTATCCTCTCGACGATATCATCTTGGCGGCGGAAGCGGGCCATCGTTCTCTCGGCGTTGCGGTCTCGGCAATGTAAGCTGGTTACACTCCTTTTGGCTGTGGAATCCAACTTCCGCTTTCTCCCTCTCTTTTCCCCAGGCTCTCTTTGGCAAGCACGAGGCCCCTGCCGAGGGGGCCGTGTGCCGCCTAGGCCACCCAGGAGGAGTCCTCGCCCCGGGGGTTCAGCTGTTCAGCTTCCCCGGCGGGTGGGTGTCTTCCGATGCTCTTCTGATCTTTGCCCAGAGAACAGCGATCTTTAGAGCCCAACCTCTTGCGACAGTGCCGAGGAGCCGTGACAAAATGGCATCCTGGTTAGGCGAAAACACCGTAACTGTCCTTCTTTGGCAGCTGGTCTTGCCCACCCTTCTTGAGGCCGAATTCTTCTATCATCCTCTCAGCAGTGGGGTCTGGCTGGCCCTTTGTACAGCCGTATGGTACTTGAAGCAGCGTTGCTCGTCGATGGCGAAGCGTGGCAGGGTGCCCATATCCTCCTTTTAACGGTGAGACCTGGCTTAGGTGCTCCCCTATCCTGGCTCTCATCTTGGCAGTAAAGCCTACTAGCTGTCTTGCACCGCCATATACTCGGAGCGGTGTTTCTCGTCGATGATGTAACGTTGGAGGAGTGCTTTGAATGTTCCTATCCTGTATCTGGCTATCCCCTCCCTTCCTTGATGGCAAAATCCGACTCGCTGCCTTCTACATCCGTATGCCTGCGGCAATGCTTCTTGTCAACGATGCGGCGCGGTAGGGTTCTGGGTACCTGTGTTACCGCTTTTAGTGCAAAATGTCCAGTTCTTGTCCTCCCTCCTCTTCACAGCGAAGTCCTACTAGGCGCCTTGTACCACAACATACTTGAGAGCAGTGCTTCTCGTCGACGATGCAGCACGGAGGTGCCTTGGGTGCCTATATTCCTTTTTTTCACAGCCAATACGGCTCATGTCCTCACTCCTATTGGCGGCACAGTCCGGCCGGCCGCCTTGTAAAGCGGTGTATTTGTGAGCTCTCTTTCTCGGCGGTGATACACGTTGGAGAGCTTGGAATGTTTCTCGTCGATGGTGGAGCGCTAGAAAGATGTTTCGAGTGCTTGGGCCCTTTGTTTGTTAGCCCATGTCCTCCACCTAGGCAATCTCCTCTTGCGGACCTGTAATGTGCTCTTGTTGGATGCTGTCCGTTCGGGTCTCCTGGGTGCCCTCGCTCCGGACACCCCCCTTTCGGATAACGTCTTTTTGGAAGCCCTCATTTGAATGTCCTCGTCTTGATGCCCTCGTCTGGGTGCCTTTGGGTTGTATGCCGTCGTTGTAATGTCCTCGTTTTGGATTCCCTTTTTGCAACGCCCTGTATAAGCGCGGATTTTTCCAATTTGGAATGGGCAACCTGGCCTAATGTTAGGCTGATACGTAAACGTTGAGAGCTGTGGATAGCGGAATATATGGGTAGCTGGTTGGATTGGAAATTTTTGACCAGAATTGGTTAGGTAGGACTGGATGTGTTGGCTTGGTGCTTGTTTCGATTCGCATGTAATTCGTTGCTGGCTATCATTGCTCAACTTGTAAGACCGCCTCCCCGCCTGCCTTTCAATACCAGCTTCCAAATTTTACCACCCAATGCTTTGCATTAGCCAGGAAAAGCTGGCAAATACTACCTATTACTCCTCATCCGTATCGTTTTACAAAATATTTTAACTATTAACCCCCCCCCCCCCCCCTTTGCATCAAAAAGCAATAATTACAATATTAAACCAATAGGGGATTTTAATTTTTTAATTTTTTTAATAGTGCTAGTAGCGCTAATGAGGCTATTTGCCGACGGCGCAAGGAAATACTTAGATGACGCCTTCGGTCATCTCGTCCCAGTCGGCGTCGGTGATTTGGGACAGCAGCGGGTCGTTCTCGAGCTTGACGTAAGGCCCATTGAGCTCATGCTTGAGGGGATCCTCGTCCTCATCCAGGACGATGGGGCCGGTACCGCCGTTCAAGCTGTTCTCAAACGAGGCCCCGGTCATCTCGTCCCAGTCCGCATCGATGACTTGGGACAGTAGCAGGTCGTTCTCCAGCTTGATGTAAGGCTTTTTATATGTGGTCGTTCTCCACTTTCAGATTGGCGGGGCCGGCACCGCTGTTGAGGCTGCCCCCAACCGAGGCCTTGTCGTGTTGGGAGAGATAAGCGGCCGAGGCGCTTAGATTGATGGGCCGGCACCGCCGTTGAGGCTGTCCTCAACTGAGGCCTTGTCGTGCTGGGAGGGACAGGCGGCCTGGGTTTTGTCTTCCGTTGGCTGGCTTGTATTCTCCTCATGGTAGCGAAACTCGTCTGGCTGCCTCATACCCGTAACCCTAGGTGTATTGCTTTTCGTTGACGATGGAATGCTGGACGAGTGCTTGATGCGGCTGTACCCTTCGTCCGCTTGCTCGTACCTTTCGGCTTCTTGGCTGATGCTTCGGCTGCTTGGTTATATCCTTCCTCTGCCTGGTTATATCTTTTGTCTGCTTGGTTGGACCCCTCAGCTGCGTATGTGTCCCTTCCGCTTGTTTGGATGCGTCACCAGCTTGCGTGTCTCCCTTCTGCTTATTTGTGCCCTTCGACTGCTTGATTGTATCCTCCTCTACCAGGCTATATATTTTATCTGCTTGCTTGGATCCGCCAGCTGCCTGCCCGTATTCCTTCTGCTTGCTTGTGCCTCCCGGATACTTGACGCATCTTTCGGTTGTTTGATCGCCCCCTTCCGCTTATTTACCCCCTTCGGCTACCCGTATCTGTGAATCTGTCGACTGTACTGCTTATTAGCGACCTTGTCTGCTTATACCACTTTTCAGCAGCGAGGTAGGTCCATATATTAAGGGCGTTGCATCTCACCAAGTCATTCCTCCGGGGTATTGCTACTCAGCTACTCGAACCTTGAGGACATTCCTCTTTGCTAAATCTTGTCTTAAAGGTACATCCCCCCGTAAGATCGTCTACCAGGGCACTGGTCTCGTCAGCTTGTATCTTGAAGGCACCGCTTCTCGTCGGCTCGCATCTCAGAGGCACTCCTTCGTATGAGCCCGTATCTCAAGGCCGAGGTACTGGCTCTCGCCAAATCGTATTTTAAAGGTATTTCGTCTCGCTAAGTCGTATATCAGGGCGTGCGTTCGGTATCTGGTATCTTGGAGGCACTACATCTCGTCGGCTCGCATCTCAGAGGGGTGCTTCTTGTGCACAGCGCAACACCTAGGTTTTGTATAAAGACACCGTTATTGCGCGAGGAGGGGGAAGGTTCTCTGGCTATCTGGTGGGAGGCCATGTGTATACAGGGCTGGTTGTGGTCGGGGCGTGGGCTGGGGCTTGCTCCGTGACATTTCGTCAAGTCGTATTTCAACAGCACTTCCGCTTGTCGGGTCGTATGTCGAGGCACTGCTTCTCGTCAGCTTGTATATCAGTGGTACAGCACTTTGTACACCTATATCTCGGGGCACTGCTTCTCGTCAGCTTGCCTTGAGGGCACTGCTTCTCGTAGCTTGTCTTAAGGGTGCTGCTTCTCGTCATCTCGGGGGTGCTTTTTCTCGTGGCGCATCTTAGGGGCGCTGCTTTTCGTTATTTCTGGGGCGCTTCCTCTAGTCATTTTAGAGACGCTGCTTTTTCTAATCTTCGTGGCACCGCTCCTCGTAGCCCACCCCACGGGTGCTGCTTCTTGTTGCCTCGGGGGTGATGCCTTTCGTAGCTTCTTTCGTGGTGCTGCTTCGCGTAGCTCACCTTATGCGATCTGCGTTTCGTATCCTATCTTATAGGCGCTGCTTCTCGTTATCTCGGGGGTACTGCTGTTCGTAGCTCATCTCGCGGGCGCTGCTTCTCGTCATCTCGGGGTGCTGCTTGCAGCTCATCTCAGGGGCGCCTGCTTTTCATAAGCTCGTTTCGGGGCGGTACGTCTCGTCAGTTCGTTTCCGGGGCGATACTTCCAGGTAACTCATCTTTGGGGCGACGCATGCCGTCAGTTCGCTCCAGGGGCACTGCTTCTTATCCGCTCGTTTCAGAGTGTGCGCTGCTGCCAGTTAGCTCATCTCGAGGGCACCACTTCGTTTCAACTCGTCTCAAGGCTGCTGTTCCCCGCGAGACTATCTTGGGGGCTCTGCTCACCGTCGGCCCATTTCAGAGGCACCTCTTCTTGTCAACTTGTATGCTAGGGGCTTTGTTTCTTGTCAACTCGGCTCGGGGCCGCTGCCTCCCTTAGCCTATCTCACGGGCGCTACTTCTTGTTAGCTTGCATCTTAGGGGCTCTGCTTCCTGTTATCCGCCCCTTTGAAGGCACCACTTATTGTTGGTTGTATCTCAGAGGCGCCGCTTCTCATCAAGTTGCCCTCAAGGCGCCGCTTCTCGTCAACTTGTGTCTCGGGGGCGCTGCTTCCCGCCAGTTCATCTCAGAGGCGGCGCTGCTTCTCGTTAGCTTATGTCTGGGGCGCTGCTTTTTGTGAGCTCGTACCTTAAGGGTACTACCACTCGCCAACTTGCAACCCAGAGACACTGCTTTTCGCCAGTCGTATTTCAAAGGGCATTGCCTTTCGTCAAATCGTACACCAGGAACACTGCTTAGCACTGCTTCTCGTCAGGTCATATCTTAGGGGCACTGCCTCTTGTGAGTTCGTATATTAAAAGCGCTACTACCCGTTGACGTGTATTTCAGATGCACTGCTTTTGGCCTGTCGTATTTCAAGAGGCATCGCCTTTCGTCAAGTCGTATATTAGGAGCACTGCTGCTCGTCAGCTCGTCTACAATGGAACACCATTTCGTTGGTTATAAGCCGTGGGAGGAATTACTGGAATGTTTGCCCATTCCTTCTGTTTGTTTGTCCCCCTCTCATCAGCTCGTCTGCCAAGGCACGCCTTCTCGTCGACTATAAACCGCGGGAGGAATTCCTGGAATGTTCGCCGTCTTCTTCTCTTTGTTTCTGTACTCCCCTCGTCAGTTCGTCGACCAGGGCACACCTTCTCGTCGATTATAAACCGCGGGGAGGAATGCTTGGAGTTTTTGCCCTCTTCTTTTGCTTGTTTTTGTCCTCCTGCCGGCGGCGACATCTTACCAACCTCCACGCCCTTGTACTTAACAGCACCGTTTCCCGCCTTCCATGCGTATTCTAGAAAGCGCAGGTGAATTATTCTAGCGTCAGTATCCTCGGGAATCTGACTGGCAGCATACGATGGAAGCGCGAGTGGGATGCTTCAAACATTCAAGTTCCGCCTTTTTGGCGGCGACGTCTGGCTGGTTGCCCTTACCTCTAGGAGCAGTGAATCTCGCCAAAGATGAGCGCTTGTGAAATGTTTCGAGCGTCCTCCTCGTCTTGGTGATATCTAACCGGTCGCCGTCTTATAAACCACCTTGTATCGAAAAGGACGAGATGATGAGAACCAGCACGTTGATCCAGCCCCAGGTGAAAGGAACCCAAGTCGACATTACAAACGGTCCGGATCTATAGACGACGCCTAGACTGTTCGAGGGAATTGGTCAGCAGACGATGCGGTGGGCATCGACGGGTGAGAAAAGTTTCGACTCACATCAAACCAACAATACTCCCCGACAAGACCGCCTCACTGCCCGCCACGAGCGTGTATCCAATCGGGACGACCCAGACATACTTCCAGTTGGACCAGCGCTTCCCCAGGTGCATGGTTAGGGCGAGGCCGGCCGCGCCGAGATGAACGAGGATGAAGATGCTAAGCGTCCAGAGGGTCGTGTGTCGCACGATGTCGGCCAGGTAGTAGAGGTGGCCAGGTTGTTCGTACGGCGGCCACGACAAGGACGGAAATCGCGGCGGGATGTAGCCCTCGGGGGCGCTGTCGCTCCTGTGATGAGAGTGAGGGAAAGCACGGGTCAGCGACAACAGCAAGAGGGCTCGAGGGACTGGCGACTCGTCTCTCGCGTCGCTCGCTCACTCACTCACCCGTAGTACTCACCAGAAGTTCCCCATCGTGGCAACCGAGTCCCGCGAACGGGGGCAGCGCCTCGCGATGCGGGCGATGAGCGAGACTGGATACGGCGACACTGAGGCGCGGACTCTTTGATGGCGACGCAGCGCGCGTCACAGACACAGCTGGAGATTGCAACTGACGTCGTCTCAGGGCCCAAGAGCCCCTGGTCAGCCGCAGCCCTGGCACGCGTCTAATAAGTGGGCCGAACCAGTGAGAGCCTAGCCTGCTGCCCCATGTTATCCCTACCTAGCTGTCGGCAGTGCGGCTGGCAGGCTAACGAACAACAACCTCGGTGGGAACCTCGGCGGGAAGGTGCGAACGAGCTGTTGACCCAACTGGCCGTCTACTCTTAAATTCTGGCGCCCTCTGCATTTTGATATCAGACTTCACTTTTACAACCCAGTCGCGACGCACTACTTTGTAAGTGAAATTTCCAGCCCTCGCCGCCTCAAACGTCATGAGCGCAATCTCGCTGACCTAGCCGCGCCGTCCTAGATTGTCATTTGCCTAAGACCTTGCCGTCGTCGCATCTCGTCGCATCTCGTCGCATCTCGTCGCAAGTGCCCAGTCGCCTCACACCAACAGCCTTCGCCCGCAGCATCGCCAACAAGCAACCTGGCCAACGTTGCCAAACAGCATCGCCCAGAGCATCGCCACCACCTGGCCGGTAAGTAGAACTACACCCGCAATAAACCCCGTCGCCAAAGGCCATTGCGCCCGTGGACATTCTCACAGGCCTTCATTATCACGTGAAGGCCTCTCTGGACATTCTCACAAACCTTCAATATCACTTAAAAGCCCTCCTCGTCGAGAGCTCCGCTAACAAAGATCTCAACACCAGCAGACCCACCCAGCGGGCCCTTTTCTCCCCCTCCCTTCCTCACTTTCTCTTCACTTTCTTCCCGACCTCTCTTCCCGTCCTCTCTTCCAGCCACTTTCTTCACCGTCCTCTCCCTCCCTCGCTCCTGCCCTCCCTCTTGGCAAATACCAACGACCGCATCGCTTGTTTTGCCAATCTCAGTAAGTTCTCATTCCTTTTAAATACCAGAGGCTTCACGCACGAAAGCGCGCCTGGCTTTGTCGGTTGCGCAATTGAGCAGCCTCATCGCTTGCTCGGTTTCAGACATGAGTCTTTCTCATATGAAATATCGCACTATTTGGCACGCCTACGCCGCCGAATTCCTGGCGCACAACCTTTGTTTCAAAAACTTTCGCTCACAAATTCATGTTTAGGCAAGATGTCACCCGAAACCGACATGCTGCTGCTGAAGGTCCTCGCCGAGCTCCGTAAGGACCAGAGCGAGGCCATGACGGAGGCGCTGCTGGGCTGGGTCGGCACCCTGTTTGTGGACCTCCAAAATCCGCTCAACATCAGCATCTTGGCCCGCGAGGTCCTTTTGTCCCGGGCTGTTTGGAGCCACCCAGCCGCCGTTGCCCGCCCTCTGGCGACCTGCATGCGTGTCATGGCCATGTTTAAGAGCGCATGTGCCAGAGTCCTCGCCAAGAGCGCCCAGCCCTTCCCGCCGTCCTGGGGCCAGGAGCCCGAGCGGATCTCGCTAGAGGCGTGGTCCAACGCCGTCGCCGCTGCCTTTGACGGCCAGAGCGAGCACTGGAAGGGCCTTCTGGCGCATGTCGGTCTCCTAGTGGCGATCCAGCAAGCCGACGTTGCCGACGTCGCTGCCCCCGCCGCTGCCCCCGGCTCGCAGGCCGCCCGCATCAGGAAGGCTGCCGCCAACAGTCGTCGGCGCGCCAAGGCAGACCTGGAGCGTCGCGTCGAGGTTTCAACCAACATGGGACTGAGGCAGCTCCACGGGATAACAGACTTCGGCAAGCGCCAGCTACCCGAGGCCGCCATGACGCTGGCCGTGTCCCACGCCTGCCCGCTGCTGACCGAGACGCAGTCCCGCTACAAGCTCAACCTAGAGCTTCTAGTCCCAGCCGCCCTCCACGCCCTGGCACATAACAAGGAGGGTCTGCAGGGCTTCGCCTTCATGGTCGGCATCAATGACGATGTCCGCTTCCACCAAGATGGCAGTGTCGACTGGCCCAAGACATCAAAGTCCTTCGAGGACGTCGAGCGCGCCACCACCACGCCCCTCATCGCCGCCTTGGGACCTCTGTCACAGGTCCTTGCCCACGCCGTCACGTACGCGAGGTCGCCCGAACTTGTCGGCGACGTCCTCAACGGCCTTATTGGCATATCGGACTCTCTATCCCGCACCTGGGGAGCGACCCGGCTGTCGGGGCTGGAGCACAAGCAGGACGGCCTCTCGGCCGCGACGCGCAACCAGACGCTGCCCGTCTTGCTCAACCTGCAGCGCAACGTCATGTACGCTTGCATGCAGGTTTTGCAGGCCGTCGTGTACAGGGCCGCGTGGGACTCTGATATCGCGATAGGCCGCAGCATGGCCGCCCCCAGGATGCTGAGGGTGCTCCGCAACCTGTCCTTCGTCACGTTGCGCCCGGGCAACGGCTCGTTCGCGGCCTACCAGACCAGCTACTCTGGCGCCGTCGACCTGCTCGCCCGTAACCCCCAGGCCACGTTTCGCGCCCTGCATGGGATGCTGATGCCCAGCATGGCCAAGAGGCTCTCGGAGGCCAGCGGGCTGGAAAAGACGTTGGCCCAGTTCTACATGGGCTTGGCCGAGAACCTGCCGGATCAGCTCTCACATGAGTCCTGCCAGCTGCTCGTCCTAAAGCAAGCCGGCGCCATCATCTCCGCGCCCGCCTCGCCCACCCCCGACATCGTGGACCTCGCGCTCTACGAGACGGCGCACGCCGCCACGCTCGCCGTCTTTGCGTGCCAGCGGCACAGCGATCTCAGGGAGTCCTGGGCGCGCCCCTACGCCTTGAATCTCCTGGAGGCCTTCCCCGCGCGCATCTCGGCCCGCCAGTTCCGACTCGGCTTCAAGCACGTGGTCAAGTACCTGTTCCCGCCGTACACGATGACGCCCGGGGGCGACGACAGCCTCGCCTCGGCGGCGCTCGAGGTCGTCAACGGCTGGGCCGCCGAGGCCGCCAAGACGGGGACGGCGCCGCTCGCCCCGCACGCGGACGACAAGGCCGCGGACGCTCCGCTGACGGAGCAGAGCGTGCTCGTGCTCACGCTCGTCGACTCTCTGCCGGTCGTGCCGGTCGCCGAGCTGGAGGAGTGGTTGGCGGTCGTGGCGAAGCGCTTCGGCGAGATTGTGGATCCCGCGGTTCGCGACGTGGTGAGGCGCCGGCTGTTGGCCGTGCTGGTCGACGGCGAGCTGGATGTCGAGCAGGCCGCTGTGGCGGTGGCGTGGTGGGGGACCCATGGTGGTCATAGCCTCGTGGATGGTGCGCCCAGGAACCAGCTCTAAGCTGGTGATGATACTTTTTTGACTTTTTTTTCTTATGAACGACACAGGGACTTTTTTTATTCTCTCTTTGTAGGATACCACGCAGCAGGAAAGCGTCGCAGCGCTTGTGTTAATATTAATACTATTGTATAAGTACATTTGCTCTTGATGAAATGTGTGCATGACGTGTGGTGTGGTGTGCGATTTGGTGTGTGATGTAGGATGTGGTCCGTTATGGTCAGTGGGGATAGTGGCTTTTGCTGCTGATTTCAATATGGCTAGGATGTTGAGAATGTGCGTTTTATTGTGATGGCTATTAAGGTTGGTGGCAGCAGTTGGGAATGGGGTGTGGGTGTGGGTGGTAGGTGGTGGTGGTGTATAGGAGATGGTGGGAGGTGTGGAGGTGGTGGTTTAGGACATTCTGGTATGCGCTGGATTGGCAGGCGCTGGTATTTGGTTCGTATAACATGTAGCTGGCCAGGGAAGGAGAAGGCTGGCTTGGTATGTGCTGTGTGGGAGGAAATAATGGTGGTGAGGTGTTTTGCAGGCAGGACTCTGTTTCTTTTCACATCAGGACCAGGCCAGCTTTTGAGCCCACTGGCTAGCCGCATAGCAGCTGAAAGCTGGCCCAAATCTTACCAAAAAAACACATAGTTCCGCATCCAAAAAGCCCCAAAATAAAAAAATAAAAAATCCAAAAATAAATTCCCTTTTTTTTTTTTTTTTTCCTGCGCTACCCCTGCCCCCCCTCCCCTTTCAGCTATGTTTGCCCCGCCTAATTTCAGCGTATCCAATGCTGTAGTGGCTGCCCCCGTCCTCGCTTCGAAAAGTCCCGCCAATGCTCTTCCCTCGGGGGCGTCGATAGTGGGATGACGAGAACTGAGCCCCCGGATACATTTACCAGTGGCACAAGCCAGGGCAGAAGATGCGGGCATAAGCATCTAGAGCACGTAGGGCATAGTGCTTTGTCCTATTTGTTTCCCCGGTCACCGAGGACGCCCCATGTGTGGGTGGTGTGTGTATGGCATAAGACGACCCCGGCCCAAAGGCTGACCGGTTGATATATACGGCCAATCGCCACTACGTAAAGATGATCCCTCTTATATCTAGCTCTCCTATACAGCAGCCCGTTCTTCTCTTTGGTTGTGGTGGAATTGTGGCGGGTAACGGTGTGTGTATGTGTGGATATGTGTATGTATATACGTGTGTATATGTGTGTGGTCGTGTGTGGAATGCACTTTCGTCTAGGTAGCTACGTGAGGAGGACCTCTCTCCTGTCTAGCTCTCCTGCACAGTAGCCCGTTCTTCTCGCTGGTTGCGGTGGAGTTGTATCGGGTGACGGTGTGCGTATATGTGCGGGTATGTGGGTGTATGTATGTATATATGTGTGTATTTATATATGTGTATATGTATGTATGGTCATGTGTGGCATGCACGCTCGTCTAGGTAGCTACGCAAAGATGGCTCCTCTTCTCTCTAGCTGTGCTATATGGCAGCCCGTTCTTCTCTTTGGTTGTGGTGGTATTGTGGCGGGTGACGGTGTATGTATGTGCGTGGCCGTATATGGTGATGTGTGGTATGCACGTGCGTCTAGGTAACTACGTAAAGACGACCCCTCTCCTGTCTATCTACTGTATCTTTCCTCCATAGGAGCACATTCTTCCGTTGGCTCTGGTTGTGGTGGCACTGTAATGGATAACGATGTATATGCATGTGGGCGTGTGTGAATGTATGTTGGATTTACGTGCGTCGGACTGCGCAAGTATGATCTCTCTCCTTTCCAACTCTCCTACCCAGCACCGCGCTCTTCCCCAAAGTTCTAGCTACGGTGGCAGTGTGATGGATGAATGTGTGCGTGAGTGTGTATGGTGTGTGGCACGCACGTGCGTCTGGCCCGTCTCAAGCTCGTGCCGCCAGTCCGGCCTCCTCGTCCAGAGCCCGAGCGGCGCGCACGCCTCCCTTGTGAACAGGATTTTGGAGCTAATGGGACGAGAGTTTCCGGCGGCTTTTTATAGTTTCAATGCTGCGTTCCCCTCCTCCGTCTCATGCGAGCAACAGTGTGCGACCATCAAGCAAAGAATGAAGGGGGTACGCCACAGAACGCGGAGGGCTGCGATGGGATGGGTTATGCTGAGGATGGAACAGGTGAAAGGAAGGCGGGGAGCGGGAATATACGAGTCCGCATATAAGGTCGTCTGAATATGCCTAAAATTTAGGTTGGGGTCTCGGCAGGGCACTTGCTGTGTGTGTGGGTGGGTAGCGGCTGCCTGTGCTCACACGGGGCGCTGGCTTCTCCCCAAAGGCCGGCCTAGTGCCTAGCTCGCTCTCTGGGATGGCTCCTTTCCGACACCGGCCCCTCAGGATACATATGGCGACCGCCATTCCCACGTAGCAGCCAGAACCTCTCGGTTCCTCCTGACCATCCCCCTCCGTCACCCGCGTCTCTCGTTGCGAAAGCTTCAAAACGATACGGCGAGCCATGACGGACGTCCAAACCCAAAGCCACTCGGAGCCGGGAGCCGCCGCTGGGAGTCGAGTGAGTACATCGGCTTCCTGGTCCTTTTATATCGGTCAGCGTGGTAGCGGTCTTGATCTTACTAAAATGATTGTCTCACGCCCAGGACTCCTCTCCGACCGCCGACGTATTCGGGGAGAGCAAGGCTCAAGACGCCGAGATGCCAGTTCAAGAGAGCAGCAGCCAGCAAAACACCGAGGTGCCGACTCGAGATGACAGCCAGCAGCACGCCGAGATTCCAACCCAAGAGGATAGCCACCACCACGCCAATACTCTAGCCGATAAGGACGAGCCCGCCCACCTCCCCAGCGGCGACGCGGCAGTCAGGCCCTTTGGCGTGAGCCACGGCGCCGACTCTCTGGCCTGGCACGACCAGCAGGCGCGGCAGCCTCACTCCCAGCCGGCGACCCAACCCCAACATCAACAGCAGCAACACCATCATCGCCATCATCATCACCACCACCACCAGAAGCGCCAGCAGCAGCAAGAGCCCCAGCGGCTGCCCCTCCCGCCCCAGCCCTCGTCCTACTTCTCGTCCTCGTCCTCGAGCGACTCCGAATCGGGCGGCGGCGGCTCGTCGGGCTCGTCGTCCAGCCGCGCCTCGTACGACGGCTCGTCGGGCCGCTCGTTCCCACTCGTGACGGACAAGGCCAAGTACCGCGAGATGGAGGAGCGGGAGCGCAAGCGGGAGCGGGAGGAGGAGGAGGAGGGGGGAAAGCTGATGGCCGGTAGTTATGGTGGTGGTGGCGGTGGCGGTGGCGGTTGTGACTGCGCTGACGACGATGGTCAGAAGCAGCAGCAGCAGCAAGAGCCCGGTAGCGGCGACGGCGGCCACGGCGACAGCAAACTCGGCAAGATCCTTGAGAAGACGGGCAAGGTGCTGCACAGCGAGCGCGTCACCGAGGCGGGGCGGCACCGGCGCGAGGAGGCCGGGCACGAGCAGCACTGATTTTTTTTTATCTGTAGAGAGAGGGTGTGGTGCGTTTTCTTCTTCATATCATGTTTGTCCTTTGATACGCCAAAACAAGTCTTTTTGATTTCATATGACATTATCGACGAGCAGGTGCGGCCAGCAAGAGTCAAGAAAAAAGATGGATAAGAAGAAAGAAAACATCTATATGTATCTTTCCAGACAACATTGCTCGTCCACAAAAGAACAATGAGATGCGAGAAGCTAGCTATGTACAGTGAAGAAGAAGGTCAAGCTCCCAACTCATATATGCCCTCCCATAGCACCGCCACTCTTTCCATCTTCCCATACAAGAGAGGCCCCTTTGCCTCTACAGACACTGCGAGTAGTACTGGTTCTGGGCCGTGCACTTGTAGGGCGCGGCGCACTGGAAGCTGCCGTTGTGGTTCCGGCCGCCGCACTGCGAGTACCGCGGCTGGGGCGTGGCGGGCGCCAGGGCCAGCACGCGCTCGGCGGCCCGCTCCGAGGCCACGACGATGTAGGCCGACGGGTTGGTCGCCACCATGCCCGGGAAGATGCCGGCGTCGACGACGAAGAGGTTGTCGGTGCCGTAGACCTTTGTGTTGACGTCCACGACGGCCGTGCCGCCGTTGCCGCGGCCGTCGTCGGTGCCGAGCTTGTTTGTGCCTGTGGGTGGGCTTGGTTAGCTTTGTGTCCGTCTTGGTGGGATGGGGGGTAGGGTCCCTGCTTACCCATCCAGTGGTTGGCGCGGCGGTTGGTGTACGAGACAAGCATCTGCGTAGATTGCGGCCATGTCAGTCGATCAATGTCCACACACACACACACGACCTGCTCCCTCGGAAACCTCCTTACATTATCGACGTATTCCTGGGCGCTGACTCCCGGCTCCGGGAACACCCACGTGATGCCGGCGGCGTTCTTGAGCGCGTTCTGCACGTTGACGATGCCCTGGACGACGGCCGCCTTGTCCTCGGCCGTGCGGAGGTACGGCACCGTCGACACGACCGTCACCAGGCCCGGCGTGATGCTCATCTGGCCGCGCGACGTCGTGCCCCTGCCGAGGTACTGGCTCATGGTCATGGTCTCTGTGGCGGGGCGGACAGAGTTTTGTGGTCAGCGTTCTGCGTATTTTCTTGTTTCAGCCCGCCCTCCCCGCCTGCTTGCTTCTCTTTTGCTTCACTTACTCCCGTTGGCGGCGCCCAGGCTGCCTTCGACGCGTGCCGTCCACTGGAGCTGCCTGACCTTGCCGTCCGAGCCGCGGATCTCGTCAAAGAACCTGTAGGAGCCCTCATTAGAATTGTTCGCATTGAGGCCGTGGACGGGGCCAGAAGGTACTTACAGAGGCCCGATGTTGGGAGCGGCCTGGGCGAGGATGCCCGAGCGCTTGTCTTTGTTTCCAACGAGTTAGTCCAGGAGGGTTCCATGGCTGAGAGACTTGAGCTCTCATAGATGTGGGCAAATGCAAGGTGCATGATGAAGAGCCCAGGACATAGAGGGCGGTTCGGAGGGGTGTCGTCTTTGTGAGAGTGCGCACGGGCCACACTTTTGATATTGCAGCCAGGCCACCCCAGCCAACCTAGCGAAGGACTTACTGAGATACAGAGACTTGTCCGTCACATTGGGTGCCGTCCACGCCTCGTAGAAGTCGTAGAACTCGACGTTGGGGTGAGAGATGACGGTATCGGTCTTTGAATAAACAAAGAAACATGGTTAGTGTATATATCCCGATGGTACAGCAGCCTCCCCTCTCATACAACAACAAGCAGAGAGCGAGCAGACAAACTCACATTGACGTGGTCGAGGAGGTTGTTCCCCACAGGCAGCGAGATCCACGACGAGTTCGAAATCATGGTGGCGCCGTCGCGGGCCGACGACTTTACAATCTCGAGCTGGTCCGGGCGACCGATGCCGCTCCTCATCAGCAGCTTTGCGCTGCCAAACGCTCCGGCAGCCAGGATCACACGGCCGCTGCCCGGCTTGAGCTGGACGGTGCCGACGTAGCCGCCGTCGCGGAAGGCCTCGACCTCGAGGCCCGTGACGTGGCCGCCCTCGCGCACGACGCGGCGGACGGCCGTGTTGGTCCAGAGCTTAAAGTTCGAGCGGGCGCTGGCCGTGGACAGGTACGTCGCCAAGGGCCCGCCGCGCTCGCCGTTTGAATACATGAAGGGCCCGGCCATGACGGTGCGGTTCTTGCGCTCGGGCGCGGCCAGGGCGCTCACCTCGGAGAAGCCGCCCGACTTGAGCCCGCCGGCCAGCGCGTCGAAGCCCCGGTGCAGGTAGCGCTTGCCGTCCTGCGACGGCGTGTCGGTGCCCGGGATCCGGCTGAAGACGCGGCTCGTGGCGCCCGCCACGTCCGAGGCCTTCCAGCCCGACGGGAAGTTTTCGTCCCAGTCTTTGGAGTAGGGCTGTTTGCGCGAGTGGAGAGGCGGAGGAGTTCCCCATGTTAGTCTTCTGGCTTTCCTCATGACCTTGCTGATCTGTTTCTCTCTCCTCTCTCTCCTCTCTCTCCTCTCTCTCCTCCAGGTCGCCTTACCTTCCACCAGAGCCCAGCGTTCACGGCGGTGCCTCCTCCGAGAACGCAGCCGGCCATCTGGTCCGTATCGTCACAAGCAACCCCGTTAGAGTCGACCCAGATCTGGTTGCACAGGCCCGGGACGTCGAAGCGCGTGAGGCCAGTGCCGGCGAGCCAGGCCGGGCCCATCTTGCCGCCCCATTTCCCGGTCGACGGCGGGCCCTTCTCGATGAGCAGGACCGACTTGCCGGCCTCGCTCAGCTTGTCGGCGATGGGGATGCCTCCGGCGCCGGCGCCGACCACGACGTAGTCGTACGTGACGCCCGTGGGCACCGGGGTCGAGATGACCTGCGTGGCCGTGGCCGAGGCGCACGAGCCCGTCACCGTCTTGGTGGCCTTTGCGGCCCACTCCGTGTACGACGGGTTCGCGACGGCGGCGACGAGGTTGGCGGGGTACAGGTTCATGCCGTTGTCGTGCTGCTGGATGACGGCGCGGGCGGGGCACTCCGGGTTCTTGACCGCGGTCTTGGCCTGGGCCCAGCCGAGCAGCATAAAGGACGCGCTCGTCTTGGGCCCGCCCACGGCGCCGTTGTGGTTCCACGACAGGCAGTTCTGGCAGCGGAAGACGAGCGAGTAGTGCGTGTCGTTGCGCTTGGACGAGATCTGCGTCAGCTTGGCGTCGCCCGCGTACAGCTCGGGCACCGTGTACGACGTGGCGAACTGGAACGACGTGAGGATCTCGTCCCCGTGCGGCCACGCCAGCAGCAGCAGCGAGTTGGTCATGCCGCCGCCGAGCGAGATGCCGCAGTACCCCTCGCCCGGGGTGACGGGGGTCGAGCACTCCTAAGAGGCGGCAGGAAGAGTTCAGAGGTCAGCAGGGAGCAAGGAGCAAGGAGCAATATGGCCGGCCGCAGCTATCACGGGGCAGATGTACGCACCAGATATCCGATGAACTCGGTGGCGTCGACAGTCAGGGCGTTGGACGGCAGGGCCACACCAAAGGTGTAGCCTCCCAGACTCCGAGGCCCGTAGCCCTCACCCTGGGTTGGCGCATTCTCAGCAGACCAGGTGTTGAAGACGATGCCGGAGCCGGGCTCCGTCCAGACAGTCGGGGCGGGGCCCTGCGCCGCGGCGAAGCGCAGGCCTGATGATGATGGGAGGCGGGCGTCAGAGCACGAAACCAGGTCGGGGCCAGAAAACATATCGACTTACAGGGCGCCACAGCCAGCAGCGAGGCGAAGAATGAGCGTGCGCTCCTCATGGTGACAAGGGGCCAAGGATACAGCCAGAGAGACAGGATCCTGTTTCTCCTCACAGTGAAGCACGAGAGCCCTTGGCGTGGGAGGATGCTCTTGGGTCGAGAGGGCGAGCGAAGGGGGGGAGAGGAGCCGGCGAGGCGGCCTATAAAGCCAGCTTCTGAATCGCGCTGACCTCGGCCGCCGCAGGGGGGGTAGGCAGGAGGCAGGAATGGAGGGTGGGCGCTCCGCTCGTGCCGAACGGCTTACACGGCAAGTTCCATATTACATGTCCAACGGATCACGGGAGGCGCGGCCGGGCGTCGCGTCGCAGTAGCCAGCGCTGGCAGGCAGGGCCTTTGTGGGGGACGGGAGCACATTATAAAACAACTGCTCTGGTAGGTGGAAATGGGAAAAAAAAAATCGACATCGGTGGCCCTAGAGGCAGTCTGCACGGGAGTGCATGCCCGTATGTAAGGGGGGAGGGGGGGAAGCCAGGCCCGGGCAGGGCCCAGCAGCTCCGTATCTGGTGTCACGGTGGCACTGCGCCGGCCTTGTCCTCTGATTAGGATTCGGGGCTCCTGTAGGCTGGAATGTAGCTTCCTCGCCAAGGCTCCCAGCGAGCTGGGCAGGGGTGGGTGGCGGTGATGTGGTGTGGTGGTTGTCAGTCGGAAGCCGCCTCCCGTCGCAGTAGCCGGTGTGGTCTATAGCCACGCGGAAGGGAGAGACAGCGTGGGGGAAGCAAGGCACGACTGGTCCCGATGCTGTTCACGAGCAGGCTGGGCACGAGACTTGGCCGGGCCGGTCATGGGTGAGGAGTCGATAGGTTGCTCAAAGTATAAAAATAAACAATACAACGCAAGAGATTGGAGCTACAGAATCAACAACCAACGGCCCAGCATTTGCCCTGCAAAACACCCCGCGTCGATTTAAGATTGCAGTCGACGCGCGCAAGTCTGGTCTGTCCCAGGCTTCGGTCAAGGCCAAAAATGCATTGAACCAATATTCCGTGCATCAGCTAGTCCGGGAAAGTTGGATTAGGATGGAGAGTATTGGGGAGGTGAGATGAAGGCCCTGCAGGCGCTGGGGAGACCCCTGGCCTGGGCAGGTAGGTTGGTCCATTGATTTTTATGTTTTTCTCCGTTTCAAACCACCAGAACGCACCAAGAGGCCCGTTTGGGAAAGATGCCCCGACACAGCGCGAGTCCGCCGCGTGTGTTGCAGCGGCCCCCACAAACTCCGGGCCCAATAGCCCGGCTTGCCGGAGCCATTCCTGAAGCGTGCAGGTTCGCCAGCGGCGGTGCTGCCCCCGTAGGCCCAGCTAGTGGTCGGCGCCGGGGCGGGGGCAAGGGGAGGGTGCGACAACCAGCCCCCAGCCACGTCCGCCTTTTGTGTCCCCGCACGTCTCCAGCTGGCTTGGAGGCTGATGAGGAATGAAGAGAAGTATTGGGTGTGACACCCATGGTCGCACTGCAGGTCAGAGCAAGGGAGAGAGCCTCTATGGTTCAAATACTGGTAAACCACCGGCCCGTCGATGCTGCCGTTGCTTCCGTGAGCCGACGGAAGCTGTGGGTGTCACGACATGGGTGTCACGACATGGAGCGAGGATCCCTTGTAGCATAACAGATGACCTGTTTACGGAAGATGCAGCTTTGGGAAGGTGATGATGGGTTTTGGGATGAAGTGAATCAGCACCCTTCCCAGTCCAACACTCCATATCATTCACTCACCCGTCTCTTGGCCAAACAAACCGTCTGCCTCGTATCGAATCCAGAGACCAGGTGCCCAGGACTGAGAGCCAGCAGCACCAGAATCCACTTTTTAGACGTCACTCTCCGATGCAAGCACGTTTTTGGCCAGTGAGCCAATCACGGAGCGTCGATTGAAGCACAGCACGTCTCACTGTGTGTCGCCTTTAGATGTCGTGAATCAATCAAACCCCGCGACGGCGACGGGGGCGCTCTTGGGGAATTGAAAGCATCTCGCTCGGACCTGGATTCGCTCTTTTTTTCTTGGCAACCATCGCCAAATCTCACTCTCACCACTCAAAAAAAGAAAAAGCTCAAAATGAAGGCATATCTCTACGACAACATAGAAGTACGTCATCCCCTGCCCTGCCCCTCATGCAAACCCCTCCAACAACCAACTGACACACACAAAAAAAAAAAAACCACCACCCAACAGGGCGACCAGCGCCTCCCCCACGACTCGGGCACCCCCGTCTCGCTCGACGACCTGGGCCGGCTGGGCGTGGTGTACCGCCAAATCCCCGACCTGGCGGGCGTGGACGCGCTGGCGGCGGAGCGGGCGTACCGCAACCGCGACGAGGTGGTCATCTCGCCCGAGCGCATGGGCGACGCGTACGAGGACAAGGTCCGGACCTTCTTCCGCGAGCACCTGCACGAGGACGAGGAGATACGCTACGTCCGCGACGGCCGCGGCTACTTTGACGTGCGCGACGCCGGCGAGCGCTGGGTGCGCATCCGCGTCGAGAAGGACGACCTGCTCATCCTGCCCGCGGGCATCTACCACCGCTTCACGACGGACGAGGGGAATGTGTGTTTCGATCCCCGCCCCCATTGCGGTCCCCTTTTCTTCTTTGGATACGAGATGAGTGCTCACTATATATAACCTCTGCTCGCAGTACATCCACGCCATGCGCCTGTTCAAGGAGGAGCCCAAGTGGACTCCCCTGAACCGCGTCCCCGAGCTGGATTCCAACCAGTTCAGAAAGCAGTACACCGAGGCCTTTCTCGCCTAACCTGTATCGCAGCTTGTTTGAGTAACGATGTGTTATTTACCTGATATTTCACACTTGCGTCATGTCTCACTTGCGGTCCTGATCGATCAAGTCGTCATCTCACTTTTCTCGCCGGCACATCACTCAAAACTTCCCTCCGCAGCACCAAGTTACATGGCAGGTTTGTAAATTGTAGGTACTGCTACAAAGTTAACCTTGATTTGGATCGCGCCCTTGACGGGTTCATCTCTTCAGATCATCTCTTCAGAGTGGCCACACTTCCGGCAGCAAACAGTAGAAAGACCTCCCAGTGATATGTCGGACCCAGTTGTCCCATCTTAAGCCAAGTCAACGCCAAAGTAAATGCAGTTTGAGGAGGTGATGAACGTTGGTGGTAACGTGAGCAAAGGAGAGAAGAGAAGCGCCATCTAAAATTGTAGATAAAGATAAGGTAGGGAAAGATAAACGATAACCCTTGTTCACTGTAATGCAATGAAACTAAACATCAAAACGAAATCTAGAGAGCCGGCACCGGAGGCTGCTGCTGCTCTTGGCGTGGCGGCACCTCGATGGGCGTCTCCTCGGCCGGGTCGGCCTCGAACAGGCGCCTCCAAAAGGCGGGCGGGTCGAGCGGGCGCTGGCCGCCGTGGAGGGGCGGGTAGACGTCGGCGAAGAAGTACCACACGTGGCCGACGACGACGCCCATGATCTCGTCCTTTGGCACGGCGCCCTGCATCAGGCTGAAGCCCATGAGGACCCAGGGCAGGTAGGGGGCCGTGAAGACGAGCAGGCCCAGGAAGCTGAGGCGCACGTCCGGGTTGCGGCGCGACCAGATGTAGACGAGCGTCGACGAGAGCGAGTGCGCGAGGAAGGGCATGGACACAAAGGGTGACGCCACGATGAGGCACGTGGTCGCGTACAGGAGCAGCCACGAGAAGTGCGCCGACCGGCCCGACGACTCCTCGAGCAGGCGGCAGTAGCGCTGCATGAAATACACGTGGAATAGGAGGTCGAGGGAAAAGGGGCCGAAGTAGAGGAACGTGGTCAGGAGTCGCCAGTACTGGGAGGGCAGGGCAAGTCAGCAAAAAGGGCAAAAAGGGGACGGTCCAGTGGAAAATATGACCACCAAGTCTTTCCCCCCATCTTTCTTACCTGGCTGTTGACCCAGACGGAGCGGAAGCTGTAGAACAGCTGGAAGGGGTTGAGCATCTTGGCCTGGACCAGGAGGCTGGTGGCGACGGTCGCCGTGGTCCACCACCTCGTGCAGACGGGCATCTCCCAGAACCACTCCTCCAGCGGGAACCTGCCATTGTTGCCCATTATCTGGCCCATTTGCTGGTTCATCTGGTCCATGGCCATGCTGGGCGGCGCGGGGCTCCCGGAGGAGGCGCGGGGAGGTATTTTGGTCTGTGGTTTCGGGGTGTTGTTGGAAGGCGTTTGTCGCGATCTCGTCTCTGTTGCGCGGCGTTTGCGGGGAATGTGCTGGAAGGTGGAAGGGGGCCACCAAAATCTAGTCGAATGGATGCGCCGGCTCGGATCTCTGCCGACTGTCTGCCGATTGCAGCGCAGCGGTCGGTCTGCTTATACGTTCGGGGGTCCTGTTGGGTTCAATGTCGGCAAGAAACAAAATGGCCTCGGCCGTTGATTATCATCCCTTCAGAGCTCAGAGCCCCGTCATGATGTCCCATGTGTCGATGTGGCCTTTCGCCGTCATAGCCCGCCTGTGACGGAACGCCCCCGAACCCGGACCAAGGCGGGTGGGTCATCCCAGACAGCTAAAGTGGGTCGACCCCACTCTGTTGCCGCGTGCGTGGGGCCGACCCAGAGCGCCACGCGCCGTCACCAGCCACTGGTGTGAGCGGGCAGGCGCGCCACAGCTCCCCTGAGAATGCGTCCACCCAGCAACGCGAAACAGGCACGATGGTGGGGCTTCAATTAAACATGGAGACCAGAGCGCGTGCTGTCGCGTCCAGCCCCCCCAATTTTGGGGTTGCATGCTGCTCTTAAGGGCATTCTTCCATCGTCTTCGCCACGACAACGTCGTCTGCCTGTTGACGATACTCGACCAACACCCTAATTACGCTCCTTTCCAAGGTTAATAAGCTTAATTGGCTCGTCCTGCCACCCGAGCAGTCGATAATCTTGCTCTCTGTCCGGCCGCTTCCACCACCTCGGCTCACCACCACCGCCGACGACCTCTAGCCTCGATTTCTAGCCTCGACGCAGACGGTCCTGACCCCGGACCCAATTCACACCTAAAAAAAAAAATGCCTTCCAAGGTCTCAAAAAAGTCCGTCGGTGGCAAGAGGCCATCAGCCGCCGCCAGGAACAGCAACGTCATGCGTAAGCGCGCTCCCACCAACCCATTCAACCACTCGAACCCCATACTAACATCCCCCTTCTTCCCAGCCGGAGACCCCGTCCCACAAAGAAAGGCCAGGCGATACAGGCCCGGCACGCTCGCGCTCAAGGAGATCCGCCGGTACCAGGGCAGCACCGACCTACTAATGCGGAAGCTACCTTTCGCCCGGCTGGTCCGCGAGGTGGCCCTGTCGATGCGCCCCGCCGACGAGGGCTTCCGCTGGCAGTCCATGGCTATCCTCGCCCTCCAGGAGGCCGCCGAGGCCTTCCTAGTCCACCTGTTCGAGGACACCAACCTGTGCGCCATCCACGCCAAGCGCGTCACCATCATGCAGAAGGACATCCAGCTCGCCAGGAGAATCCGCGGCCAGTGGGGCGCCGGGGGCAGGATTTAGGCTGCGATTGTGCCTGGTCATTTTTTATTTTTTATTTGCTTTTTGTCTTGGGAGCGTGGCGCAACAGGTGTTTATCGCGTGTGCCCTGTTACTGGGTGCACATGATGGGTTGGTTTTTCTTTTTGGTGATGGGATATTGGATCTTTGTCGGATGACCCAATACACTGGACTTCTCCAGGTGCCGGAGCACAGTTAGTCCCCGCCCAACATTTGTATCAGTAGATAGTGTATATAGACTAGGACAACACAAGCATGTCTTTGTTCTCACCCTCGTCTGCTGTGATGAGAAGGCCCTTGTGTCGGCATGATGGCGAGTGGGCACTGTACCCCCACCCAGGGTTGGGAATTAAGTCAAAAGTCATAAGTCAAATTCATGACTTTTGTAAGTAAGTCAGTCAAAGTCAACAGTGTGACTGACTAATGACTTACTTAAAAAAAAGTTAACTTACTTAATTGACTTAATTAGTCATTTTAAGTCAATTTTTGCATAAGTTTTTTTCATAAATTCACATAATTTGTTGCATATTTTTGCAATTTTTTTAAAAAAAATTACTTTATATATAAATAAAGTGAAATAAATTTAGAATTAAAATAAATAATAATAATAAAAGTAATAAAATATGTCAGGAGCACGGGCGAGACCGCCCGGCAGAAAGCGGGGAGCGTCAGATGCACGGGCGAGA